TTTCTTTTTCTCTTTTTCCTTTCCTTCCCCAAATAGAGTCACTTGTTCATCAAAGATGGCTTCTTCTTTACCCCAGTCATCCTGCTGCGCAGTCATTCATAAGTACAAACTGCCATTTCTAGAAATTGAAAAAGAGTATCCAAAGACTCTTTCTCTTTTTGTTCTTCTTTTTGTATTTTTGGTATTCAATTTTCAATTCATCCACAAGTGATGCCGTTGTAGAGAGAAAAAGTTTTTCCAAGATAACCACCCAAGTGCTTTTAATCAAAAATAATTCCCAAAAATTCCAAAGTCACCAAACAATCCAAATAAGCTGTTTCTTTTAGTACTTTTGTCTTTCTTCCGTTTCTCTTTCTGGGGTTACTATTTAGTTACAAAGTTCCAATTAAGGTATATCTTTTAGAAGTCTTATTAATATTTAATAGCTCTTTAGAATTCTAGGCAATCTCCTCCTTATTTTCAAATTCTGCTCCAATTTTATTTTCCTCTCCCTTCCCACTTACAGCAAAAAAGTTTTTTTTTTTAAGTATTCAGAAATCCTTGTCCCTTTAGCATTTAATTACCTCCAATGCGGGTTTTCCAATTTCTCTTGCAGTTCCATTCATTGTCACGTTAGGAAGGAGAGTGAAAAAAAAAAAAACCTTTTCCTTTTAATTTCCATTCGCCGCTTGTAAAGCTCTGGAAACGATGTATCTTTAGCAAATGTTAAGTTCCAGGGTACTTTCGTTACTTTATCCCGGTCAGCAAAAAACACTTTCACTTCTTCACAGCTCCTCCTGCGCTTTCTTTTTCCGGCTGAGCTCTTCTATGTGGCGGCCATTTCTGCCTGCTGCTCAGCTGCCTTCAGAAAAGGGGGTTTAGCCGGCTAGGGAAGAGAGGTGCGATATCTCTCGACCCTGCCAGGTCCCCTCTGTCTTCGCCACCTTCTACGGAGGTGGCTAGCCTCGAAGCTGGATGGCTCGGAGCACTCGGGCAGCGAGCGCAGGCAGAAACCACGCAGAGTCGCGGATTCCTGCCTTCCCCAAAGCGCTGCAAACCGGAACTCCTATTGCACAATAAAATCTTGAGACACGTGACCTCATCTTTCAGGCACAAAAGATTGTGTCCATACATGAAGGTCCAATTAAACTGATTTATTGATAAGCAGCCTCTGCGCAGGAATCTTCTCAACTAATGGTTAGCACCTGCTAGGATTTAGATAGGCCTCAACAGAATTTGTGTTGGGGAAGACTCTTGCGAGTCCCTTGGACCACAAGGCGATCCAACCGGTCAGTCCTAGAGGAAATTAACCTTGGCTGTTCTTTAGAAGGCCAGATCCTGAAGATGAAACTCAAAGACTTTGGCCACCTGATGAGAAGGAAGAATTCACTGGAGAAGAGCCTAATACTGGGAATGACTGAGGGCAAAAGAAGAAAAGGATGACAGAGAACGAGGGGGCTGAATGGAGTCACGGAAGCAGTAGGCATGAGCTTAAATGGACTCCAGAAGATGGTAGAGGACAGGAAGGCCTAGAGAAATGTTGTCCATGGGGTCACAATGGGTCGGACACAACTTCAACAACTATAACAATAGAATTTAAGGGAGGATAGACATAGTTCTCTTGCGGCTACATAGGGATTCTACCCTGATTTCTAGCGTGTGACAGCATCAAGGTAGCTAGTTATTAAGTCATTGGCTGTTGTTTCCTTGTGCTGCCAAGTGCTTAACCTCCTAAACTCCTGATAAACTGGGGGCAAATCAGCATTACTTACTGATGAGGGGCCTGTTTCCCAGGTTTCAATCACTTTCCTGGCTGTTTTTGTATCTGCTTGCCCAACAATCTTAGTAGTTTATCAAGAAGCGAGGGCCTGGCACCACAAGGAAACAACAGCCAACGACTTAAATAGCCAGCGGTCAACACCCTAACCAACAACTCAAAAGCCACACACACACAACCAGGCACCCTATAAATACCATACACAGAATAGCCCAAAGCACACACACTCTGCTAGAGAGAAATTCCCTAAGGATGGGCCCCAAAAGTTTGGAAGACACAACCTCTGGTTCCCAGTGATTGACCCAGATTGGATACTGCAACGTTACCCTGGGAGGCGTAGATTCGCCTTCATTCACAAATTACTTTTTAACTTTGGTGAAGTTGTGCATTTGAGGTAAGGGTTTTCCTGGGTGTAAACAACCCCTAGGAAAACTTAGCGGTTTGGGAGAAATAATTTGTTGTTATTCCATCTATGACTGAAAGTGAGAAAATTTTATTAATTCGGTAACAAAGTGGCATGAGATGTGTGAAGGCATCCTTGTATCCTGAGGGGCCCAATAGTTCTGCTCAAGATCTCACAATCTTGGGGAGGATCGCTTGAAATGTCTTTTGAAGTTTTGGAATTGAAAATAGCTGAGATTTGCAGGCATTATTATAGCCTATTAACAGGAGACATGACTTGAATGCAGAAGGTTGCTTGTTTTGATCCAGAATCTCTAGTTAAAAGAAGTTTTTAGCAAGAGTTGAGAAGCAGTAACTGGGAGAGGGATCTTGGAGTCTTACTAAACAGCCAGTTAAATATGAGTTAACTGTGTGCAGTGACAACCAAAAAAGCCAACACAATCCTAAATTGCATTAACAGAGGGATACAATCAAGGTCAAGGGAGGTACTAATACCACTCTATAAAGCCTTAGTAAGATCACACCTACTGTACACCATAAGAATGTCCAACCTTGCCTACTTGTGGACTTCAATTTCATGGCTGGATGGGGAATTCTGGGAGTTGAAGTCCACAAGTTTTAAAGTTGCCAAGTTTGGCCAATCTCGGTGTACAGTTTCCATAGCTACACCTTCTGGGAATGGTTGACTTGCTGGAAAAATCTTTCCACGTTGTAAGTTGGGATCAAAGCACGAAAGAGAAAACCGTAATCAAGCAACAGAAAAAAAATCAAGGAACTGCTGTCATACAACCAACCTATCCTATAAAGATCCTTAGGGGCACAGTGGTTAGAGTGCTGTACTCTAGGCCACTTCTGCTGACTATCGGCTGCCTGCAATTTGACAGTTCAAATCCCACCAGGCTCAAGGTTGACTCAGCCTTTCATCCTTCTGAGGTGGGTAAAATGAGGACCCAGATTGTTGGGAGCAAATATGCTGACTCTGTAAACAGCTTAGAGAGGGTTGTAAATCACCGTAAAGAGATATATAAGTCTAAGTGCTATTGCTCTTGCTATCCCAAGGAATTCAATCATTTTTCACTGGATCTCATTTCTGATTGCTACAAACATTTCAACCACATGGATGTAGAGAACTGTTGGTGGGTTTTTGCATAGATCTATCCCAAGGGTCTTCAAACTTGGCAAGTTTAACATTTGTGGACTTCAACTCCCAGGATTCCTGAACTAACATGACTGGAGGAGGAATTCTGGGAGTTGAAGTCCACAAGTCTTAAAGCTGTCAAGTTTGAAGATCCCTGATCTATCCTAACCTTCATTCTGTATAGCTTGCACATTTATGAAACACGATTACGAATGGGTGAGTCTATTTATTTTCAATCAGGATCATGTTCTCTTTTTTTTTTTTGATCCACAAATAGGATCCGTTTGCTTTTTTATTTTTTAATCGTTTGAACAAAGCCTACAATTAAGCAATTGTTTAAATATCATTTCAAAAAAATACTTGTTCTTCAGGGAAGGTTTTTTGATATACAGATAATTTGTGGGAGAATTACGCTTTTCGAAACGGTCGAAATCTGTGACACGGTTCCAATCTGTCCACCAACGACAGGTATTAAATCACAATTAAACCTCTTTGTAAGGTACCAGGAAGACAGCCTTGAGAATATTCCAAAACTTTGTTATGGAAACAAAGACAGAAACATTTCTTAAATCCTAGGGAAGGGAAATAGTGATAAGGAGAGGCTCAGATTGGTTCCTCTCTGACTCAGGGAAGGTAACCCCAAGGAGACAGGTGGGGTTCTTGGTGCTCTCAAAGCTTGGTTGTTTTGCTACAGATGTTACATTACTCAACCAGATAAACATCATCAGTGCTAAAAGAGAGTGGGGTCTACAGGGGGAGGCGGTGGCGGAGGAAGGATAGAAGGAGGACTGTGAATTACCTGGTGTGCTCTGAAGTTACTTGTTTTCTTGCAGATGTTTCATGATGCAATTAAGTAACATCATCAGTGTTAGAACAGAATGGGGTTTGTGAAGAGGAGGAGGAGGAGAATGACCATAAATGTCTATAACTGTCCATAATTTACTACTTGGAAAATGAGGGGCTAGAACAAACTATTTCTTCCTCCTCCTCTTCTTCCTCCTCTTCTTCTTTCTCCTCCTCCTCCTCCTCTTCTTCCCAAAAGGTGACCCATCCTTTGGTCTCCTTCTCCTCCTCCAACAGGTGGTTGGTTCTTCTCCTCCTCCTCCTCCTTCCTCTTCTTTCGCCTATTCCTACTCCCCCCCTACTTTTCTTACTTTCTACTTCTTCACATTCATGCTGTTCCAGGGAAGGAGAAGGCACATAAAAAGAAAGTATCTTGCAAAGCAGCAACACGGACTTATCAAACCCAAAGTACACTTGACTCTTCTGTGTTCATTGAGCTGAAGAGTCAATGGTGCATTTTCTGCTTTTAAAAATTAAGAATAACAGCTGGCTCGGCCATCTTTCTGGCAAATCATTTCTAGCGTAGGAAAAATGCCATGGGAGCCCTACTTCACCTTGGCTTTAGAGATAATTGGTTCCATTCCAATTCCGTTCCAATGGTCTTTGGCATGGGTGGAAGAGGACCATTCCGGAACAGGTCATAGGTTGGGAATCTCCTAGTCTGAAAGGAAGAAGGGGTCAAGCAGGGAAGTAGCCTTGAGTCCATGCAAAGATGCAACAGGACAACCTATGAGTTGTAAGTCGAGGACCTTCATTTTAGATCTGTGGTTGACCCTGTCATGCTTCCCATTCCTCACTGACTTCCCACTGCTGTGACCAATGGTCAACTCTGCGAGTCTACCGAACGCATCAGAATCCTACCTGTGAAAACCAGCTGGGTTTATTTCTTGATGGAAACGGAGAGGACGATGATGAAGATCAGAAGAACGACCAGCCCGGCGGAGATAACACAACATTTCACTCTCCTTGCTCGCCGCTTAGGAAGACAAAGGCAAGAAATGAAAGTCAACACTCAGGATGGGACAAACAGAACACCAAGAAGTCTTGATGTGCTCTAAAGGAGGGGAGGAAAGTGGCTTCGTGAACCATGGGACAGGTGGACAAGGGACATGTTTTTCCCTCTTAAGTATTAACACACATGTATAAAAAGAAAGAGGCACCAGAGGCACCAATCTGGACTTGCCTCTAGTTGTGGGTCTCTAGAAGCTCCTACTATTTTTTTTTTTTTTTACAATCTCTGGTATACTTGAGTCGGGGATTGTGTGATTTATGTTAATAAATGTTAATAAATAAATGCTACTGACACTTTCCTCCTTAATTCTATCTCAAGAGAGACTGATAATGAAGATCTCTTCGTTATCTATCTTCCTTCTTTCCTTCCTTCCTTCCTTCCTTCCTTCCTTCCTTCCTTCCTTCCTTCCTTCCTTCCTTCCTTCCTTCCT